GCTCCGCGCATGCTCTAAAGCTATGAAGTTAACATTGCCAATTTAGATATTGATCCCTTCAACACGGAAGGAAGCAACGCTTTTGCCTGGCTGTCCAGGAAAGTGCAACATCTCGTCCTCCAAAGGCTTGAGGGGTTAAGACAGGACCTTCTCTAGCCTGATTTCTAAAAGCCCCACAGCTCTACCTCCAGACCCCAATTTGTCCCGTACGTTCTCTGATCTACATTGCCACTCTGCTAATAACATAGTTCCCCCCTCCAGTGATTTATTAAGTGTGGTTCAAGCTTCCCCAAGTTTGCATCTGCCTTCCACTCTTCATCCTTCCTAAGCGATGATCTCATCATACCCGCCTCTGAACATCTGCCCCCAAAGCCTTCATGTTCTGGCTCACCTCTCTGATGCTCCTCTGAGGAATACTGACTCATTCTTTCAATAGGACCATGGTTATCTCTAACCAGGGAGCCCATCCTAAATTGTCAAACGAGACATCAGGAGCCAGCTGTCATCTGAGCTTCTGCCCTGCAGGGACTACCTCCCATATACAAGATGTTCCATCTGAATGACTACCACTAGCTCTATCACAGGAAGGCTGGCTGGGGAATTCTGGGAGTTGAAGTCCACTCATCTTAAAGGTGCTAAGGTTGAGCAACCCTGCTCTAAATGGACACATTCTGCATTTATGGCCTTTTTATATCAATTTGAAATTCTTCTGTTACAAGAGACTTGGGGCTTGGAACCGTTAGACCTGCAACTCCCTCATAGCTAAACCTAGTCTGAAAAGGGGCCGGGCTCTTGGAGGTATAAGCCTCTTAATCTCGATTCAATTGCATGTGCCCATTTCACTGGCTTGAACGTGTGATCAGATAGCCATAGCTTCCCCTTTAAAAATTGGTTCTACTAATTTCTTCCTTATTTATGTCTACTTCCCCCCCTCGTAGTCTTATTTCTCAAATCAGCAAGGACCGGGAACGCCTTGAAAAGTGGCTTTTTGATCTAATGACCCAATCTCCAAGCTCAGAATTAATAATAGGTGATTTTAATACCAGGATGGGAGCCAACAATAAGGCCCTATTCCAGGAGGGTAAAATGTTCTAACTGGATTGGCTCATCAGACATCTACAGATAAAGGCATTAATATGGGGTGGGGAGAATGGAGATTGCTTCAATTGGTGGCAAAATTTGGCCCGAGGGTCCTCAATGGATCTACTCCAGGTGACACAGAGGGTGAACTCACCTTCTGGGGCTCCAGAGGAATTTCCACTGTAGACTACATGCTAATTTCTGAAGAGTCTGCTCCATATTGTTTACGTTTTAGTAGATAGTCCTCGTTTAGTGACTGCCTAGTTTAGCAACTGTTTGCAGTTATGACGGTGATGGAAAAGTCACTTTGCGACCAGTCCTCACATTGACAACCTTTGTGGCATCGTTCCCCACATGGGTCTTGGTGCCAAATGCAGATTTCACTGTATAATGTATTTTAAATATGCCACAAATTAGAATTTCTGGTGGTTTTTGTATATATTTTTTATCTTGTACCATGCTATTCTTTCCTCATTTTATTTTTGAAACATTTTGATTTAACTTTTCGGTCTACTGTTTAATCTGCTTCTGTCCAGTGAAGGGCAGGTGTTACACTTCAGAAACAAAAAGAGGGGAGAATTCATAGGCCTCTCGGCCATTCAGATCATAAATTCCTCTTTCAGTTGAGATAAATATCTGCCAGCATAGAAAAATGGGGAGATGACAAGAGTGTGGTGATCGCAGAGAAGCATGTAGGTAGGTAAATTTTAGTGCAATTTTTGACCAGGTCCACACGCTGTATGGAAAGGTCTATGTCCATCACAAAAAGGAAGAATGGAGCAAAAGGTTAACTCTTTCTCTGTCCAGAGCAGAGGCCATGTCATGGAGAGGTCCAGCAGAATCTGGATCTCTGCAGGGGCTGTCTCTGGGGTGGTGTCACACATGGGAAGGGCTGAAAATGGGGCAGACGTAGGAATGACCACAGTCTCCTTGATCCCAAAGGCAGTGGAGACATCGTGGGTCTTTTTCACTCTGGCAGAAGGAAAGAGCAGCCAACAGCTAGGAAGACTAGAAACATGTTCCCCAAATGACTGGCCTCAGGATGCAGGCTGCTGTCCATGGGTTTGACGAAAGGGAGAGGCCGGAGCAAATGTTAGCAGTGGTGCATCCATTTGGACCAATTTTGGGGTTGAACTGATGCAAGTCATCAAACGTGCCCAAACAGGTTCAGATAAGGATGCTTTTAAATCCAGCTTTCTGAAACAGTCTTAATGTCTCAGCTGAACACAGGATCTGGGAGAGGGGATGTCTTAATCATGATGGGCAACTGGGCCAATAAACTGCCACAGCATCAGATCTGCCCCTTGAGCTTTTCTCTCCTGGAGTAAAATTAGAAGGCTCTCAATGGGTTCTCAATGCTGCCCTCATCTTGGAGGCTGGATCTGTTTCAGTAGAACCGTGAATCTGGGTAACCAAGATCATTTACTGGCATAAATCTGCACCCCGCCCTGAGGACTTAGCCCTCTTGATTCAACTGGAAAACTTTCACTCAAGTTGGAAGATCACTTTGGACATGAAACTAACGACAGACATTAGTCCTGCAACCCTGGACTTCCCTCACTAAAGAGATTATAAGATGGCAGATAATGGATATATATTTACAGGCCTTCTTTAGGGAAATTTAAGGAAAGCCTACTTAAATAGCTCCATAATGTTGATCTGGTAAGACAAGATTCCTCAACCTTAGCAACTTTAAGATGGGTGGACTTCAACTCCTGCTGTACGGC